TGGTGAGGATTCGAATCAAAGGCCTTCATGCTGGCAAACAAGAGCCGATGAGCAGAATTTTAAAGTTGTTTATTCAATTCAATTCACCAGTTCCTCAGAGTAAGGTTGAGCTAATTTGTAAAAATACAGATATTCTTTTCTCGTACACTCGGTCATGATTTTGTTTTTAATTATTATTAATAATTTTATTATTATTATTATTATTATTATTATTATTATTATTATCATTATTATTATAGAAACCACTTCGAAGTCAGAGTTCAGCTGCCTGAGAGGCAAGGAACCAACAGTCAGCACACACATAAGCTAACGGTATAAAACTTAAATTAGTGAAAACTTTTTGGAAGCTGTGGAGATGTGGTTTTATAGACGAATGATGAGAATACCCTAAATAGATAAAAAAAAAAGAGTAATGAAGCTGTCCTGAAAGCAACTGCCTCACGAAGAGAACTTATTGCACAAATCAGAAAGAGACAATCTATTTTTCTTGATCATGTGATGAGAAGGATAAAATTGGAGTTGAGGGGCAGACGAAGTGCATGGGAGCTCGTAGCGAAGGCGAATGGACGTCGCTTGGTGCAGCAAAGCTTGGCGTGTATCACAAGGTCTAGTTTGAGAATGGAGGTGGAGGCAGTCACTGCTGCCTTCTGCTGGCTTGAGAATCAGCTGTACACACAAGCCGTCATTGTAACTGACTCACACAGCATGCTGAGAAGGTGGAGACAAGCATGCTCCGTGCAGAGTGGCAAGCATCACTTCAAAGGTCCTGGCTGGTTAGCATCTTTTGGATATTTTCTCCAGGTCATGCCGGCGTATTGGGAAATGAGCAGGCAGATAGACCGGTCGGTCCTGCACCACTTGGTGGTGAACTGTTGTATGACAAGCTGGATGTTGTGAGGGCCCTTTGGGAGCGAGTGAACAGTGCCGAGGCACAGATAGATCATTACGGTCTGATGAGAATGACACGACAATGAGTTACAAGGGGATCTGGCCAACACTCGACACTCAGGGGAAAGGTGAGACGGATATACAGACAGTTACTGGTACTATCGGAATTTTAACTCTTCGCTTGCTGCTGAAGATGGGGACGGAGCGCTTATCGGAGTGTTCCTAGTGTTGTGATGTCGATTTTTAATTCAACATTCAACCAGAGATTGCAGCCGGTGAGTAAAAAACATTTAACAATCTAAGATGAAAGCATTCATTTTTTGTAAACCTTAGCATTTCGATTTTAATAGTTATCTTCGTTTCAGTCCAATAATCGCCAGTGTGTAATGAAGCCATTTGTTCTTTTCTTTTATTTCACCACATCACGCCGGCTTCAGGATTTGGTAGGGTCCGTCCTATAGTATAGGGGGGATAGGGTTAGTGGTAGTCTCTATTCGTTTAACACTAACCCTAACCCATCTTGCGCGTTACATATTTCATATGTCTGGCTCGATAATTCAATCCATCAACAATGAATTTGTCCACCATATTATAGGACATTTTTCATCACTTCGGACTAGTCATGTAACAAAAATTTATGGGAACCATGCGGTGGTGGAGTGTGACAATTTACTCATCTTCTCAAATATTTGGAGAATTCCCTGATGTATGAGCGTAGGCGCCAAAAAATAGGGGCTCATAGTAGTTGCAGACAAAGTACACCCTCTGTATGAAGCTTTGGCTGCATGTAAAGGTCAGAGGCTGAAAAGGGGAAAATGGGGGATGGCTCAAGCAGAAGACACAATAAGACAAGTATGCATGCTGAAGAACATTGGGCGATATGAGGAGTGGGTCAGAGTACCAGAAGAAAAGTCTGACCTGCGTAGGGTTATGATTACATTGGGCCAGGAGTGCAAAGTGGGTGCTACGGAGGTGAAAGTCCAACAGTTGATTCACGACAATTCACACTAAGGTGATCTGATTATCTATACAGATGGTTCTGTGCTGAGAGGAAAGAGAAGTGCCTGGAGGTTTGTAGAGAAAGCCAATGGAAAATCTTTAGTGCAAGACAGCCTAGCATATGACACCACAACATCTAGCATGAGAATGGAGGTGGAGGCGTTAACTATAGCTCTTCGGTGGCTAGAGAACAAGATGCATACACATGTCGTAATTGTAACAGTCTCTAAAAGCATGCTGAGAAAGGTGAAGACAGGGATGCTTCGAGCAGAGTGGCAAGCTTCACTGAGAAAGTCACGGGTAGTGAGCATACTTTGGATCTTTTCTCCAGGTTATGCCGGCGTGGTGGGTAATGAACAGGCAGACAGAGTGCTAGATCTGCACCACTGGGTGATGAATTGATACATGACAAGGCAGATGTTGTCAATGCCCTTTGGGGACAAGCAACAGAATCAGTAGAAAACAAGATTATTATGGCCTTGAGAGAATGAGACACCTTGATGTAAACAGAGATTCTGACAGGCTCAGTACACTCAGAGGAAAGACAAGACGGACATATAACAGATTGTGACCTTTACCATCAGTACTGGAACTCAGCGCTGGCTGCTTAAGATGAGGACGAAGTGCTGTGATGTCAATTCTTGACTTGACAACTTACCTCAGCAGGGGCTCAAGTTTGAGCCCACTCCTCACCCCCAACCCCCCTTTGCAAATAATAATTATTAGTATTGTAGTACAATTAAGCAATGTACGCAACTATCTGCTACGCCAGGCGGCTTGTGCCGGCTGTTATCCTTGAACTTCTTCTTCTTGTTCTTTTTGTTCTTGCTGCTCGTCTTCTGCTTCTTCTTCTTCTTCTCCTCCTCCTCCTCATTCGTCTTTATCTTATCCTCCTTCTCCTCCTCATTCTCCTCCCCCTTAGTCTTCATCTCCTCCTCCTCATCATCCTCCTCCTTCGTCTTCTTCTCCTCCTCCTTTTTCTCCTCCTCCTCTTTCTTCTTCTTCTTCTTTTTCTTCTTCTTCTTCTTCTTTCTTCTTTTTCTTCTTCTTTTTCTTTTTCTTTTTCTTTTTCTTTTTCTTCTTCTTCTTCTTCTTCTTCTTTCTTCTTTTTCTTCTTCTTTTTCTTTTTCTTTTTTTTTTTCTTCTTCTTCTTCTTCTTCTTCTTCTTCTTCTTCTTCTTCTTCTTCTTCTTCTTCTTCTTCTTCTTCTTCTTCTTCTTCTTTCACCTTAAAAAAAGCGGGTGACACATTGTTTTATACTTTACAACTAGGCTGCGATATCTGCGCCTCTCGGCTCAACATCTCCGATTTCAGAAAACTCCAAAATAGTCTTTATTTACAACATGCATGTTTGGGGGCAATGCCCCCCGCCCCCACCACCCCCTTTTTATCCCCCAAGTATTCGCTCGCTTTTATCCCCCTAAGTGCTCGCCAAGTGTTCCGAGGACCATTTCGAAAGCCTCGATTAACAAGTATTGTATTATTGAGAAGATAGGAGAGAAGAGTGCCCGTGTTCCTTGTAATTAGAATTTTGAAGTGTTTGTGTAAACTTTCAACAACGGAATCTTTACCACTGAGTTCATTCAGTGCAGGGACCTGGCATAGGATCATGTTGCTGTTATCAAGGTCACTTAGCAATTAATTGGGGGAGTTATAAAACAAGTTAACCACTTTGAGTCACACGTCGCTGTTACTTTAACTCTTAGTATCTCACAGAGTCGAGTCTAAAAGCAATACATTCTTAGGTCTGATTAGGTTCAACATAGACAATACTGACAGTATTAGTTAAGTTAACGATTCAAATACAAATGCTTAACATAACATCTGTATGAGAGGGCAGTAGGAACATTATACATGTGGGAAGAATCCTTAAAATTCATTGGACAGCTCAAAAGAGCAACCCAGATGTTTTGACCGAGCGGTGGGCTCGATGACAATTTATCACAAACAGAGACGGTCATAATTTTGTGGCCACATTATGAGACGAGTGAAACTGGAACTTTTTAGTGAACTTTGGACAGATTTGTAGAAAGATAGACAAGAGAAGTCAGCGCGAGAAGATTCTTGACAGCCTTCTGTCCTAGTATGGAGGGATGTCAGACTCTACACAAATCTGACTGTTCCGCTAGCACTCTGCCCTCCCTTCTCCTTGCCTAATGTTCTTCAGGATGCAAACATGTGTTATCGTGTCTTCTGCCATCTATGACTTCCCTCTTATCAGCCCCTGACCCCTAACTGCGCGTAGAGCTTCGTGCAAAGGGTGGTCTGTATCTGTAGTTACTTTGAGATATGACTTCGCCTGCAGCACCTTGTGCCTACCTGCAACAGTCGGCAAACCAAGGATGTATCGCATACACACCACTGGGGTGTCTATGGTACAACCAAGAATGACCTGCATAGCTGCGTTCTGTATGCGCTCTAGTTTAACCACTTGATTCTCTGATACAGTAAGCAGTCCTAGTCCATAATCAATCACTGAAAGGATCAGGTGATGTTATAGTGTGAAAAGCATTCTCTGCTCTATGTCCATTGCAGCCATAGTCTCAAGTGCATTTAGTCCTTTTTGGCATCTTGTCACGACCACCTCCAATGTCGTATCTTACTCTACTGTACGCATCTTGAGATCAAACGCTGCCGCCGTCGTTTCCTGTACGTTCTGGGACCCTTCATAGACATCAAAGGCAAAAGTGGCTGCAGTTGACCATGTATCTTTTCCTGGCCTGTATCTTTTCAGACCTCTTGCGAGAAACTTTCATGTTTCAACAATTCTTGCAGCTTGACTACCCCCCTCCTCCCTCTCTCCTTTCCGCTCCCAAAAAGGGTACAGGAACCCACACGGAGGAATACAGTTTAACAAAAACCAACATACTGCAATGTGTGTGTGTGTGTGTGTGAGTGAGTGAGTGCGTGCGTGCGTGTGTGTGCGTGTGTTTTAAAAGCAGACAAATATAACTGGTAATACATTTCATAGTCTAAACACAGAACATTGAACAAAGAACATAAACACAGAAAACACATGTAAACGTCAAACATAGAAACATATCAAACATAGAAACAAAAATAGAAAACAGCAGAATGAACAAACCATCGACCATAGAAAACATCAAACTGTACCTGAGGAGCACTGAGTGGGGGTAGATGCTGGATGACAGGAGGTCGATGTTTAGCCTCAAACTCATTGGGCTGAGCTATTAATAGGCCTTGCTGCTGTGGATACAGGAAGATATATGTATATGTGTGTGCGTGTGTGTGATGTAAATTATTGTGTGTGTATGCGTACAATGTATTGTGTGTATGTTTTGTGTGCACGAGTGTGCGTGCGTGTGTGTGTGTGCGTGTGTGTGCGTATGTGTTTCATTATTGTTTCTTTGCATAGAGTTTTCATAGCTCCACTGTGCATTATTTAATTCTTGTTGTGGAAACGAATCCAGTAGATAACAAATGTAATCACTTGTATATATTGTATAGTCGAAATGGAGAGAAAGGCAAATAGACAGGCAGAGAAGCAGGCAGGCAGGCAGACAGACAGACAGACAGAGAATTTGTAGAGGGAGAGAGAAAATGCTAATAATGATTCAGGAGCCGCTAAGCCACGGCAGTTGCCTTCTAAGTAAGTAGTAGTACTAGTAGTACCTTTGTAGTATCTATGAAACATGGCACGAGTCGTATTATGGTGGGTGTTTCCAGTAGTTCATGAACGTCTCCTTTGTCTTGAGCCGTTACATGGTAATCAAAGGGGAACAAGCTGAGATTAGTAAAACAACGGAACTGACAAAGACAACACAACTCTAATCTCAAGTGTTTTGTTAATCGACCCTCACCATCATGATCATCATGTGCCCTATCGACATGTCAAGTTTGGCCGTCCAACACGATAGCCAGAATCACGGATAATGATCACGGTTCTTGTCTCGTCCCATCCACAAAGGCAAGCCTTTCTGGCATTTACCTATTCACTTTCCCTTGTCTCTTATTTAATCAGTTTTGCCACCGTAGATCCATCTATTTACATCTTATTTTCAAGTTCCTCACTTTGTTAATTCAACCTGGCAATAGCAAGTCGCAACTCTTTGTGTACCGGAAGGTTTCACGGGAGATGACAAAGCGAAGAAATGAGCATGACGAAAAATTATTTATGTATTACTTTGAAAGTATACACAATGGTAACTATAAGTAGGGAAGCCAGATTTCTTTAGTATCTTCTGACTAAATGTTGTAAATAAGAGAACACAATATTCTATGAAAAGACATCAAGGAATATAATAACTGTAATGACCCTGCTTTGCATGGTCCTCGCGATTACATAGTGGCAATCAGAAAGTCTGTGCAACAAGGGACAGCACGAGATACTTGTGCCTAGTCGAGGAAGCGAGGGAAAGCCCGAGCTAGCCTCGTGGTCAGTCAATCATGAGAAGTCAGAGAAGACGGTTGTAGGAATTGAAGATGTCGTCTTTTATGTCGCGAATGGTTAATGTTTGAATATGTCGCGAGTGAAAAAGTGTGAATAATGTTTGAACATGTGAAATAAATGGACCAGAATAAACTGACAGAATGTACAAAGAAGCTGAGCGGCGTTCGTGTTGTCAACCCTATAAGTTAAAGTAGTGCAAGTTTTGTAGCAGTAAACATCCAGAGAGTGAGCCGTGGCGAAAGCCAATAGGTAGTAAGCCAAAGTGCAGTCCAAGTCAAGCCAAGGTTTATTACAATAACCAACACACCAGGAATTGCTTAGAATCGAAAGAGTTAATTGTCAACCGTATAACTAGGGACATTTTTGGCAATCACTTGAAGCAAAGTAAATCAACACAAATAAATTATCAGGTAGGTGACAGACCTGGCTTGGAAAGTAAAGCAAAGAACTCCTTCCCCACTATTTGAAAAAATATCAAACAAAACGAAAAGTAACGAACTAGTCAGTTTCGCATTATCATACTCAATAACGACAAGTAAACGTTGCGGCTAAAAAGCCTTCATCAGCAAATTACACGAACAGACAATTTTGCATTTACAAAGAAGAACAAAAACAGTAATACGCAACAAAATACGGTAGAGACGAGTTAGACAGGCATAAACCGATAGTAGCATTTCTGTGAGGTCGAGAATACACGAGAGAGGTGAAATTAGTGAACTGTGGTTAGGCTATAAAATATCATGGAACAGATATCACACCAAAAGAGAAGTAAAACTTCCAGCTTCACAATGTTCCAAACATGAACAAGTGAACATTGCAGCTAGAAAGCCTGCATCAGCATAATTTACACGTGACGGGGTATATAGGGAATCCTGGGGTCGACAGCTGAAGGATAGATTTCAGACTGGGGGCGGGGGGGGGGGGGGATATGTTGAAGTTATTAGCTCCCAGGTCAGAGGTCGTTGCCTGGGTTGGTGTCTTCAGCATAGCTTCTTCTTCTTCTTCTTCTTCTTTTTCTTCTTCTTCTTCTTCTTCTTCTTCTTCTTCTTCTTCTTCTTCTTCTTCTTCTTCTCCTTCTTCTTCTTCTTGGCGTTCACCAAATGTAACTGCAGAGGAAACTTATGGTTGTTCGTTTACCTCTGTGCTTCAATCTTGTTCCAAAACCTGAGTGTTGCGTGCACATAATTTTTCATATCTGACTTTTTGTATGCAGATGTGCTCCGACTTGGAGGAAAGTCCCCTAATTTCTTTTACGACATGCTTGTTGGGGAGGCAGTGGGTCTATTCTTGGTTTCCTCGCAATGGGGCCGCGGAATCCAACCGGGGAGTCTTTAACACATATCTAATGAGCAGTCACAGGAAGAGGATCATAAACATTGTTATAATATAGAATAAATAAATAAGAATAAAACAGTAATATGAAAATATATGTCACTGAGGGGTTAGACGGACAAAAACGATGCCAGTATTTTTACAGAGTAATGGATACTCAATGGGTGACATGGTAAATATCAGGCCGGCCACATTTACTTTCTTCTTCTCAAAGTCCATGCCGTGTGGCGTTGGTAGTCATGTCTATCCACAACCTTCTGTCTTGTGTACTTTCAATTAACTCTGACACAGATGATCCTCCATGCCATGTCAAACTGTCCATCTTCTGTTCTCTCGGTCTCCCTCTGCCTCTCCTCCCCTCCAGTTATCCTGCTGTTACGAGGTACTTCAAATTTCTCCTTCTCATCACATGATCAGAGAACGCAGGTTGTCTCTTTCTGATGTGGGCAATCAGTTCTCTTCGTGAATTAGTTTCTTTCAAGACATCTTCATTTCTCTTTTTATATGTCCTTTACTTTCATTTAAATTTAATTATACTGATTTAGATCTTAACTGATTTGCCACCCCTGGTCTTTACAGAACCATCAGTAGTGTATAAGTCGTTTACGGCGCGTATTTCAGAAATCGATCCCTCTTTATCCTTTGTAAAAGATGGCGGCCAAAAGTGATTGGTTCTTTCTGGCGGGTTTATATATCCTTAGTAAATATCGATCGGGGCACCCGCCCTCTTTGTCCTTAGTAAATATCGATCGGGCGATTGGTGACAGCACAAGTGATTGGTTTTAGGGAAAGGTATAGGAAATCTTCATAACTGCAGGTGACAGGTGGCGTTATATAAAACGGGGGCAGGCAGGAACACTATTTAGGTGAGCAGCGGGGGCAGGGGACCCGGGGCGACTAGGAAGGCGGCATGATGACCGGGGATGTATTAGTAAAGGGCAGATTGGCGGGCGCCGGCATCAATCATCATCATCTATGTCATGGTAGCGAAGGTCGACCGCTCAACCTATACAAGAGAACAGACATATAAACATCGATATTTTGTCTCTCCCAGGGTATTTTCTTCGGGAAAAGACAAATATTTCTTTAGTGCAGGGCCAGCTGTTGATTAAAAGTGGCGGATGATTCATTTTCCCACACAGTCTTAGGGATTAGTTTTTTTTTTTTTTTTTCAGGTTGCAGAGGGCGCGGTTCTCTTATGGTGGGAAGTAATGGGTACCCTGAATGTATAATATTTGAAGGTTCTGATTGATCAGCTGGGGTTTAGTAGTCAATTCTGATTGGTCAGTATTCCCGGAGGGAAAAGGATGGCTATTACAGGAAGGTAGCCAGATGTTTGTACTTTTTAAGGTGTTTTATATAGTTGAAATAATAAGAACAACGCCGTGTGGTATTCAACAGACTTTTATTTATTTGAAGCATGCTCAATATACATAGCGGGTATTATACGTTATAAGATGCACTTGATACAAAGTCAACAGCACAGCAAAAATACAGGGGTGCCATAAAAGAGACAATATTAGTAAACCAAACGGGTAAATGCACAATATAAGGTCAACAGTTTAGCACAACACAAGGGTACTACAAAAATCCAATATTTTCAAGTCAACAAAGTCACAACAATAAATTTACCATGAAAGCACAGGGGTAAACGTTCTCTGCCGGGTTAGATGTGGAGAGGTGCAGTAGAGAAACCATCAGATTGGACTTGTCTTTTAATATAAAGGTAAGATAGAGAATCTCGGTGTTGGTTATAGGTAAAGACAGAGGCTCCTTGTGTTCTGAAACCTTTATTGATACCTCCTTGGGGTTTTTGTGTGTTGAGTACTTGTAAAAACCTGTCTTTATTTAATGTATTGTGGTGTTTGCTGAGTCCTTTGGTGCTGGTTTTGTCGTATTTACCGAAACAATGGTATGTTTTTCTACAGAGCGATATCATTCCGTCCCCCTCATATTCTAACTTAAACAAACCCGGGGTTCTCTTCTCATATTTTCGTGTCTTACAACAATCCTGACAGTCTACAGGGACACTACCTTCGCCGGAAATAAAAAGGGGTCTGTGAGCAGAACAGACTTCTGAAGGGAACCAACGGTCATATTCTTCAAAATACTGAGCTCTAAGATGGGGTCTAACAACGTCCGAAAGACTCTCGCTACTGAGCGCTAAATAAAGAGAATCCGTATCCATCTCACACAACTGAAAATCTGCTCTGTCTATGTACTTATCTAGAAAATCATAATAAAAACCTAACATGCGCAACTTGGCGTACTGATAAACAAAGAACCCTATCTGCAGCGGGAGATCCCAAACAATTTTATTTTTCAACAGCTCTACCTCGAAAATGTTGTCTGAAAGTTGTGTCATATGTTTAAAGAGAGGGTCGTTTATCTTTTTGGAAACGGTCTTGTCGAGGCAGTAGGATACGTTAGAATGTTTGGCTTTGTTGGTCAATGTCTTGCCGTA